ACCGCTGGAAACGCTGTAGTACATATGCCAGGGACTGTAAGTGGCGCTGTAACTTCCGCCACAAAATACACCAAAAGCAGCGAAGAAGACTCCGGAGCAGCCCCGCAGCAATGTTGCCATGGCTACCCTTCTGTTTATGCCCCGCGGTGGATTTAGCAACATGTAGTTCATGTAATTCTCCATGTCCACTTGTTGCTGATGGTTGTGGTAGAGGAGCTGTAGATTTTGCACCAATATCTGTAGCATGGTCAGTAGCAGTAGCACTAGCAGTAGCTACTGACAGGAGGAAGTGTGTGTGGCGATTGCTGGTATTCAGCGGGATATAGTCATTTCCTCAGCATGTAAATATATGGATAAATGCAACGGGGAAGTTAACTGAAAGAAACCGAATCTGTGGATATTGCATCGACCGACCAAGAAGCACGTCTCCGTGGAGAGGACACGCTCAGAAAGAGAGATATTCTCTACAAACACCGGGTGAGATCGCTCCTCTGGGACACGCTGGTCCTCTGCCTACAAACATTTCTCTTTTTGCCGCCGACGGGCCAGGGCTCGAGCTTAAGGACGTCCCGTCGTCCCGGGGCCGAAAAAAATAGGGTCGGGGAGGATAAAAAATAATCTTGGGACGAATTTGGGACGAGAGTTAAAATAAAAATACCCTGATAACTCTACTACAGTACGAACGGCGATGAAAATGAAACTGACTGCACGTTTTGTGTAGCACACAGTTATTAAACCTCCTTGTCAACATAAACACACACGCACAAAACATTTAGCAAACTGCGAAATACACACACACACACACACACACACACACACACACACACACAGCTGTGCCCGCAAACTCCTGGCCCGCAAATTATTGGGTCTAGCTATGTACTGAGTGTGTGTATTTCGCGTTGAGTGATGTACAATGACAATGGCATCCCGTGGAGGAATTCTGCAATTGTTTACGTTACATCACGAAAACGCACAGCAGAACCTAACCCTGGAGCGCCGGCCTCTTTATTTACTAACTCCTCTTCATCCCCTATGGGTAATAAGGCTGAGATGAGAACTCTCCATCGTATTTAGTCCTTAGCAATATGCTGCGTCTCTCCCCATGTAGGGATGGGTACCGAGCCCCGGTATTAAACGGGCCCCGGGCCGGAATTATTAAAGACAGTGGTAGCGTTAAGCTCCGACGTTATCTGACTTTTTATCGGTAGTGGAGACATTTAAAACATATATGTCATGTATTATTGCTACATGAACATTATATCGCAGTTTTAGTTTCGCCAACTCCGTTTCTAATATGCAATAAGTCTACAAAATGCGTCTATGATGTATTTTCGATCTTATTTTCGATCTTTCCAATCCAGACGAGAGAGCTCTCTCCCCCGTCTGTGTGCGAGGGGGCGGGGCAGTTTGTAAAGGTCTCCTGACTGTGTTACAGACTGTCATCCTGGTTAGTGGTTACTCTGGGTTCTGTCTTCTGTCTTCAGGACAGAGTGTTGGATGTTTTTGATAATTGGATAGTACTTGATTGGATTCAATATTAGAGTAACTTTCTCGCTTGTGTGTTTTTTTTAAATATATTTGGCCTTTGTTTATGTGTTTGACTGATTTACTCAATTAAAAAGGTTGATGAATTATCATCTAATGATTTGTATGATGTTTTATTTATGTTAAAGGTCACTTTGAATGATTTTAACTAATGATAATGTAGAAAAACTAATATTTTAAATTCGGGACGGTCCACATTAATTTCGGGACGGCTTAGATTGTATTTCGGGACGGTTCCGGGAGGATGGTGAAAGAAGTTAGCCGAGAGCCCTGCGACGGGCGCAGGAGCAATGAACAATAATGGCCTGGATTAGGCAGTAAAGACAAGTTTGGTGTATCGCAGAGCGGACTGTTTAATTTTGTTTGTGTTGTTTGGCTGGAAAATTGTCAATATAATGGATCAATGCATGAAATCTGACTCTGCTTATTTTGTTTAAGGAGTATATTGGGCGTTAACAATTCTGGTTTGCCTTTTATAATATTATTTCATTCAAGAACCCCTTGTGCGTTTAATTAACACAGCTATTTTTGATAGTTGCTTCAGCAGTGAGCAGGAGAGGTGGGGAAAGGCGGGGCTATCGTTATTTTTTCAGGAAATATTCGTATAGAGGTGATTACACGGACTCGGTTGACCCCCCAGAGCGTTTCGTTTGCAAATCTATCCACCTTGGGACCCGTTATCGTTTGTGGGGTCAGTTTCTATCGGCCTCGTGTAAATAATAGGGCTATACGCACGCGAAACTATGCAGATACAAGCAGTTTTCTCCTCGTGTAAACGGCGCCTGTATCTCTCTATCTCTCTGTCTCACTATCTATCACTCTGTCTCACTATCTATCACTCTGTATCTCTCTCTATCTCTCTGTAGAATTGAACTTCTTTTATTCTATAAAACATAAAAAAGGTTTAATTAAAAACTCTAAAACCTAAAGTAAAATAAAGTCTTGTGTATATGGAAAGCAACAATTAAATATTTGGTTTAAAAAAGACAAGTCGTTGCTGCTTCAGGCGTTTCTTTATCAAACAAAGATCTGATACCTCTCGTACATCTGTTGGGGTCTTATATGTTATCTGTAAATCAGGAAGTTGAGGATGTATCCTGACATGTTTTTGTTGTTTTTCCCGCAGGTGTTTCTGAAGATCGAGGAGAAGGACGTGGAAAACGCTCTGAAGGACCGCACGCTGCTGGGCAGTATCCTCGCTGCAGGACTGCCCTCGTGATCACATCACTATTATTATTTTTTAGAATTTATTTGTTCCTATTTTTTATTTTGTATTCTCGTTTTTGCTGAGAGTTTGTACAGTTTTTGAAAAAAAATTATTTTCTGATGTTGACGCTCAGTTTTTACAAAATGTCGGCGCGCTTCAGTCGTGAATTTACAGCATCTTGTTTCAGTTCAGATGTGAAACGTTTACAATTGTTATGCTGTAAATAAACAAATGTACAGACGTTTTAACCACTTGTTGTTTTTGACACATTACAAAGAAACAAACAACCACAGCAAAGCAGTTTATAATTGTTTTTAGCACAGAGGGAATTTTATAATTTAGTTTGGGAATAATTTCACTTCCTATCTCCTGCTATTATTCACAATATCACTTTTGATGCTTCATATACCAGCACACATCTCTACTCTGTGCCCTTTATGGTTCTTCACCTCTGCGTTCAGAGGGAATTCAGTTTACGTAACTTCCAGATATGTTCACTTTTCACACAAATTAAGCTTTAAAGGGGACCTATCATGCAAAATGCACTTTCTGATGTCTTTTATACATAAATATGGGTCCCCGGTGTGTCGGGGAACTCGCGCAGCGTCAGAAAATAAAACCCTCTCTTTTCCTCCGTACCCAAATCTCTAAAAACGGGGGTACAACGGAGCTGATCCAGATTTGCGTCCGATATGACGTCATATCTGAAATGTGGACCCATGGCCCTATCAGAAACGTTGCTATCAGAAACAACGCCCGACTGTTTTGGACGTAATATGGTCAGTGTTTACATTAGCATCGCTAACACTCAGAGCTAACCTGTACTGGAGAGCTTGTGTGTGAAGAAGCAGGAAATAAAAAGGAACTCACCTTGTGGTATAACCGGCAAGAGAGAAAGCCTTTGAGCTCCATACTGTTTCAGAAATAATCCTTGATAATCCATGATATGGCGTTTCATCACCGCAGTATTTAGTTTAGACAGTAGCTGCCGGGTCCCGCATGAGCTCAGCCCCTTTTTTTTATTTTTAAAGCTTTATACCCGAAATCAGCACTTTAGAAACAGGAAGTGAAATAGAGGGATATGAGGCATGGCTAGAATGGGTGATCTGTTTGGTATTTTGAGCAAAACACTTCATAGACATGTTTTTTATATTTTTTTATATATCTGAGACCTATGCTATTGCCTAAAAATAGCATGATAGGTGACCTTTAAGGTTAAAACAGATGTTTGAAGGGATGCAATGCAAAAAATAAGAGATGAAATCATTAAGAAGTTCAGATTATTTATTTATATTATAGTTTGTTGTACAATTGTCTTTTGTCATTTATATTTGTAATTTGTCACATATGACAGATTCACCTGAAGAAACCAATATCAAGTTCAGAGACACATTTCTGCTTCAAACTGCTGGTTATTGAATCATAAGATATCTGAAGCAGCATTACAAATACTAAACTGAATTCTACAGCTGTGATTCCTTTCAGGTTGATAACATTTACATTTTCAATCACAATAAATGTTATTGTCCATGTATACAGTACGGAAAACGTCCCAAAGAAACATTGCAACAATGAAAGAATGAAATAGAAGTATTAAATTACTTGCCCGTGGAGAGTAAAACAATATATCCATATCTAAACATAATTCATCAAAAGACCTACAAATATCAGAAAGTTAAACTCATGACTTATAGTGCTATATAGTGTCTCATTATTAACTATGTTGATAAAAGGAGAATTGACCGCTTTCATTTGTTAGTTTGGTTGATTTCATGCAGTTTCAGCACGACATACAAAATGAATACATTTCTTAAAAGCCAAGAATTCACAAAAAACATAATCAATCAATCTCATGACATCCATTAAAAGGATCATTTGAAAATCACTTAAAGGTGGGGTAGGTAAGAATGGAGAAACCAGCTCGAGTGCGCTAGAATTTGAAAATACACAGCCGGAGAAAATCTGCCACTTCCTTACAGAGCCCCTCCTCCAACACACACAAACGCACACATGACCAATGAGGGCACGAGATAAGTTTGTGCACAGATGGAAGGCTGACAGGCAGGTAGGCCATCCAGTTACTTTAGCCGGGCCGGCTCAGATGATTGGTCGTGCTTTTGACAGTACTACGGCTTCCACAGATGACATTTTTTATGGATTTTTTGTCAAAGCATTTAAGATATTCATTGCTATCGGGATGTTAAGAGCATTCCATGGAATATAACAAAAAGTGTTTCTGAAGTGAATTACCTACCCCACCATTAAAGCTATAAAAACATGATAATAAAGTATAACAAAATGATAAACTATAAAAATGAACAAATAATTACTTTTGTTGCACTGAGACTTTGAGTAAAACGTGTAAAACTCTGTAAATAAAACATGATCAAATCTTCTTAACATTTAAAATCTTACAGACTCAAATTAAATTCTGATTATCATCTGTTGTTTTTTACCTTGATTATTTCAAAAGGATCTAGACAGACGAAGTCAGAATAAAGTCTGAACCAACACTCCTGAGCATCACAGAGGAATCTCACTTTGACAGATTTTGATATCAGCAGTTTTAGCATCACCAGCTTTTCCAATTTTGAAATATGGGAAGAGTTTCTCAGTGAAAGTGTCTCCGTGAGTGCAGATGGGAGTCATGTCTTCAGGGTCGTAGAAGGACACCTCCCCCCTGTCATAGTCCAGCTGGACTCTGATCCTCTGGAGATTCTTCTCCACTCTGACAGTCTCACCAGCACCATCAGTGTATTTTCCACTGCGATGTGCTAAACACCAGATTCCATATTCTGGTGAGACAAATACCTCTCTCTTCCTGTCAACTGACTCTTTAGTCAAACCTATACTCCAGGCAGGATGATCTCCCACCTCCACCTCCCAGCTGTGTTTCCCTGAGCTGAAGCCCTCAGAGCCCAGAACAACAGTATAGTTAGTGCATCTCTCTGGATTACCAGGAAGCTGCTGATCTTTGTCTCCATGTCTCACACTGGTCAGATCATCAGACAGAGAGAGCCAGCTGCTTGCAGTGTTTGGGTCCAGAATGACAGGACTGAAGTGGACCTGGTCCTTCATCTTCTCCCAGACTCTGAAGGACAGGTTGCCCAGGTGTTTGGCCACATCTGGCAGCGCTCCTGAGAGCAGCTGTGGGTCTGACAGTGAGCTCTGGACTCTGGCTCTGCTCTGAGTGGCTTTGTAACTGCTGAGGAAGGGCCCGTTGTGTTTCTGCAGCTCTTCTTCAACAGCAGAGATACTGTGTGACAGAGAGGAGATGTGCTCCTGAATGCTCTTCATCTCTCTGCTGATAGTCTTCCCCTTCAGCTCCTCTTCCTCCCTCAGAGCTGCCAGTCTGGACTCCTCTTCCTCTTTCAGGAACTGATGGAGCTTGATGAACTCTGCTCTGATCTGCCTCTCTGTGGACAGCAGCTGCTTCTCGGACAATTGAATCACTTCCTTGTATGTTTCCTCCACTCCTTTGTATTTGTCCCTCTTGTCCTGCAGAGACTCTGGCTGCGTCTCAGGTCGACTATTTTCATTTCCTCGGTATCACCGAATGTTGATTTGTCTGCGCCATCTTGAGTAGCGTCCCATGGCTCTTATTTCTGCCGGAGGACCGAGGATCGAGGAGCGAGGAGCGATAATGGAGGAGCTATAACCGAGGAACCACCAGACCATCCTCCGGTGAAATCCTCAGAGACTCTCCCCGCCCCCTTACTGTGTATCGCTCACTGATTGGACGATGCAGCGCATGCACTGATCTGATGCTTCTTGACATGAGAGCAAAGTTTCCCAGCGGAGTGAAGAAAACACATGAAACTCACGAGACTCACTCCTCAGTTTATACTGTGTTTTGTTTCAATTAATGCATCATTCAGTTACAAATATGTGATATATCTGAACAACAAAGTGGTGGAAAATTATTTTATTTATTTATTGGAAACATTTTCATGATCACTTTTTCGTTTTACATTTTCATTTATTCATTGTCATTTCCATTCAGTCAGTCATTAAGTGCTATTTAACATGCTAATTTGCTACATATCCACACAAACAAACAAAGTGTGCAGTCCAATGAATGTTAATCTAACTGGGTTTTGATAGATAACATATCTCTTTTTCTTCTCTGAATTATTTTATTTCTATTGTGCACTCTAATCAATATTAATGTTCATTTATACCTTTTAAGAATGGCGTTTATCTTTTTTGAGAATGAGTTCTTATTTTATTTTATTTGGTTCTACAACAGATGATACAAATGTATATGTCAGTAAATGTGTACTAACAGATATATATATATATATATGTATATATATGTATGTGTATATATATATGTATATATATACATATGTATATATATATATATATATATGTATATATGTATATATATATACATATGTATATATATATGTATATATATATATACACAGTGCAATAAGCTTCTTAGTGCAATAAGAAGCTACAGGGACGTTAATCGACGTCGGTAATATTAACTTTATTTAATACAACATTTACGGTACAAGATTTAATCATACAGCCCATGTAGTATAATATTTTACAAATGATGAATTACAGCAAACATGTGCAATATATCCATTATTACAGCTCCGTGGGCTGGCAGTAAGGCGATATGGGTCCGTTCTTATTGTGCATCCATGGGTAAAGATAAACGCATGCAGTGCTGAACACGTAACATGAACGTGCCGGGCGGCGCGGTCCCGTGGGGGTAGATGCGCGTTCATAATGCAGAGGGAAATAACTCACAGAATAACGTTATTAGCACATTTTTACAAGATCTTTTGTCATTTATATTTGTAATTTGTCACATATGACAGATTCACCTGAAGAAACCAATATCAAGTTCAGAGACACATTTCTGCATCAAACTGCTGGTTATTGAATCATAAGATATCTGAAGCAGCATTACAAATACTAAACTGAATTCTACAGCTGTGATTCCTTTCAGGTTGATAACAACATTTACATTTTCAATCACAATAAATGTTATTGTCCATGTATACAGTACGGAAAACGTCCCAAAGAAACATTGCAACAATGAAAGAATGAAATAGAAGTATTAAATGACTTGCCCGTGGAGAGTAAAACAATATATCCATATCTAAACATAATTCATCAAAAGACCTACAAATATCAGAAAGTTAAACTCATGACTTATAGTGCTATATAGTGTGTCATTATTAACTAGATGTTGATGAAAGGAGAATTGACCGCTTTCATTTGTTAGTTTGGTTGATTTCATGCAGTTTCAGCACGACATACAAAATGAATACATTTCTTAAAAGCCAAGAATTCACAAAAAACATCAAACAATCTCATGACATCCATTAAAACGATCATTTGAAAATCACTCAAAGGTGGGGTAGGTAAGAATGGAGAAACCAGCTCGAGTGCGCTAGAATTTGAAAATACACAACCGGAAAAAATCTGCCCCTTCCTTCCGACTTCCTAATGCTGCGTTCACACCGGACGCGATGCGACTATTCGCTTCGCTCTAATCGCTCCTATCGCATCGCTCTAAACGCTGGAGGTTCACCGCGGCTGCCAGCTGTGTTTACTCGCATCATTCAAACAAGACGCGCTGGCTCGGGAGCTACAACTACAACAAATGAACATATTTTACCGTGATTAAATTGTAATACACGTTTCTAAATGATGCCGAAGTAACAACATACTGATACCGGTTAGTAACAACCATGAATTAATGCTTTGACAAGTCTGCAGACAAGACGGCAGGCAAAACACCTTTTAAAATGCTTGTTTTCTGAATGAAGATCGGGTCAACCAGGCTAAGCTAACGTTGTATATGCTCATTCCACACTCACAACAACGGCCTACAGACATAAATAAGCAGCGACTGTATTCACCATGACACAGACAGTCTGTGGTTTGTACTTGTTTAACTTTTGTCCAGTTTCTGAACGGATATGAGGAGCTGTGAGCTCTGTGTGCTAACTGCTAACAGCTAACGGCTGATGTTGTGTGGTTGAACGTCAGTGACGGCGGCTGAGATCCTCACCGCTGATTGGCTTCCGCGAGAACGCGTCACGTGAATTTGACGCTCGAGTTGAAAAAATTGAACTCTCGCGTTTAACGCGGCACTGTTCAATCGCCTCAATCGTGTGATTTGCGCTGCGTCCACCGCTTCATGCGCGCCGTCGGAGCGAATTCGCGTCTGTCCACGTCTCTGCATTGACTTTACATGTAATCGCGCCGCCCCCAAACGTCGCATCGCGTCCGGTGTGAACACAGCATTACAGAGCCCCTCCTCCAACACACACAAACGCGCACATGACCAATGAGGGCACGAGATAAGTTTGTGCACAGATGGAAGGCTGACAGGCAGGTAGGCCATCCAGTTACTTTAGCCGGGCCGGCTCAGATGATTGGTTGTGCTTTTTACAGTTCTACGGCTTCCACAGATGACATTTTTTATGGATTTTTTGTCAAAGCATTTAAGGTATTCATTGCTATCGGGATGTTAAGAGCATTCCATGGAATATAACAAAAAGTGTTTCTGAAGTGAATTACCTACCCCACCTTTAAAGCTATAAACACATGATAATAAAGTATAACAAAATGATAAACTATAACAAATAAACAAATAATTAGTTTTGTTGCACTGAGACTTTGAGTAAAACGTGTAAAACTCTGTAAATAAAACATGATCAAATCTTAACATTTAAAATCTTACAGACTCAAATTAAATTCTGATTATCATCTGTTGTTTTTTACCTTGATTATTTCAAAAGGATCCAGACAGACGAAGTCAGAATAAAGTCTGAACCAACACTCCTGAACATCACAGAGAAATCTCACTTTGACAGATTTTGATATCAGCAGTTTTAGCATCACCAGCTTTTCCAATTTTGAAATATGGGAAGAGTTTCTCAGTGAAAGTGTCTGTGTGAGTGCAGATGGGAGTCATGTCTTCAGGGTCGTAGAAGGACACCTCCCCCCTGTCATAGTCCAGCTGGACTCTGATCCTCTGGAGATTCTTCTCCACTCTGACAGTCTTACCAGCACCATTAGTGTATTTTCCACTGCGATGTATTAAACACCAGATTCCATATTTTGGTGAGGCACCTGGTCTCTCTCCCTTCCTGTCAACTGACTCTTTAGTCAAACCTATATTCCAGTCAGGATGATCTCCCACCTCCACCTCCCAGCTGTGTTTCCCTGAGCTGAAGCCCTCATAGCCCAGAACAACAGCATACTGAGTGAATCTCTCTGGATTATCAGGAAACTGCTGATCTTTGTCTCCATGTCTCACACTGGTCAGATCATTAGACAGAGAGAGCCAGCTGTTTGCAGTGTTTGGGTCCAGAATGACAGGACTGAAGTGGACCTGGTCCTTCATCTTCTCCCAGACTCTGAAGGACAGGTTGCCCAGGTGTTTGGCCACATCTGGCAGCGCTCCTGAGAGCAGCTGTGGGTCTGACAGTGAGCTCTGTTTCTGCAGCTCTTCTTCAACAGCAGAGATACTGTGTGACAGAGAGGAGATGTTCTCCTGAATGCTCTTCATCTCTCTGCTGATAGTCTTCCCCTTCAGCTCCTCTTCCTCCCTCAGAGCTGCCAGTCTGGACTCCTCTTCCTCTTTCAGGAACTGATGGAGCTTGATGAACTCTGCTCTGATCTGCCTCTCTGTGGACAGCAGCTGCTTCTCGGACACTTGAATCACTTCCTTGTATGTTTCCTCCACTCCTTTGTATTTGTCCCTCTTGTCCTGCAGAGACTCTGGCTGCGTCTCAGGTCGATTATTTTAATTTCCTCGGTATCACCGGATGTTGATTTGTCTGCGCCATCTTGAGTAGCGTCCCATGGCTCTTATTTCTGCCGGAGGACCGAGGATCGAGGAGCGAGGAGCGATAATGGAGGAGCGATAACCGAGGAACCACCAGACCAGAGCCGTATAATAGATTAAAAAAACAGATTAAAATATTCTATCTATATGGCGCTGCACCAGACCATCCTCCGGTGAAATCCTCAGAGACTCTCCCCGCCCCCTTACTGTGTATCGCTCACTGATTGGACGATGCAGCGCATGCACTGATCTGATGCTTCTTGACATGAGAGCAGAGTTTCCCAGCGGAGTGAAGAAAACACATGAAACTCACGGGACTCACTCCTCAGTTTATACTGTGTTTTGTTTCAATGAATGCATCATTCAGTTACAAATATGTGATATATCTGAACAACAAAGTGGTGGAAAATTATTTTATTTATTTATTGGAAACATTTTCATGATCGCTTTTTCGTTTTACATTTTCATTTATTGTCATTTCCATTCAGTCAGTCATTAAGTGCTATTTAAAATGTTAATTTGCTACATATCCACACAAACAAACAAAGTGTGCAGTCCAATGAATGTTAATCTAACTGGGTTTTGATAGATACAGTGGCGGCGCCAGGGTATGGCTGGGGTAGGCTACAGCCATACCAAGAAATGGCTTAGCCCCACCTTAGCCCCACCATGAAAAATGATGTTAAAGTAAGCTAAATAAAGTCCGTCATCTCGCGCGGAGTACATTGCACAGACAGCAGTTAGTAAGATTGATTTCAGTAGCCACTTGTCTGGAAATACCGAAGACTAGAAACGGTTTTGAAAACTTTTGTCACGTAGTGATCTTCTTCCCAATAAAACATCTTTGATAATGTCTTCTGGCCAATCAGAATCACGATAACGGCGTGCAGGAAGTCCCGACGGAGAATACTTTAGCGGTAGTACATCTCTATATACATCGATACAACATTGAAATAAGACCCCACGGTTTGATGATTGATAGGTGTGTGGGCTGTCTTTCATTTTGACACACAGAACAATGGGGGCTATCCACCCTTATCCACAATGTAATTCACACAGCCTCTTCCCCTTTCTCTCTGAGGAGCAGCAGGTTCAGCTTTCAGAACAAAGTAACAAAAAACAAAAATGGCATTCATTTTTTTAAATATGTAGTAACAGATTTATTTATTTTTCTTCTCAAGAGAGTACCAGAATGTGTATTTTATGTTAGTATTTCAAAAAATCTCCTGGGGGAGAATCCCCCCAGACCCCCCTGTAGGGGTTGGGTTTTCAGCATGTCAACTCTTTCACCTGTGGGGAAATTGCAGGATTGGCTCCAGGTCGCCCTTTTTATTTACTACAAGACAAATGTGCCTTTTTATTTCATACAGTTCAATTTGGATTGAGACAGGGAAATAATCTAAACCTCACGCGTGGCGTTTCACTGTCAAGGGGGGCGATATAGCGTGTATGTAATTACATTGCAAATACTGACTTGAGCCCCACCACTGTATGGGTTAGCCCTACCATAGATTACCCAACACAAATACTCTGGAGCCGCCACTGGATAGATAACATATCGCTTTTTCTTCTCTGAATTATTTTATTTCTATTGTGCACTCTAATCAATATTAATCTAACTATTGTTCGTTTATACCTTTTAAGAATGGCGTTTATCTTTTTTGAGAATGAGTTCTTATTTTATTTATTTAATATATATATATATATATATATATATATATATATATATATATATATATACACATAAATATATATATATATATATATACACATAAATATATATACATACATATATATGTGTATATGTATATACATATATACCACTGAGATTCAGTATCAGTGCAGGGACTCAGACGTGTGTGTGAGTGTGTCAGCGACAAACCGAGAGAGAGATGGTATTACACTAGAGATTGTAGGTATTGTCTCATTATGATTCATCCCTGTGCTACGTGTGCATGTAGGCAAACGTACCAGCCACAGAGGGGCATTAAGCGAATATTAGAGATTTTGAATGAAGACACTCGAGGCATTTGTTTTTTGGATTCTTTATTTCAAGCCAAGCAAGCCATGTTACTGCAGGGACAAGTCAAATATGTATTGATATTGAAGCACGTTACTGTAAGTCTATTTCCTTTATTAAGCCCTAATCACAAATCTGCCTCAAACATGTTCAAATAACAGCATTACCCAAAAACAATAGAACTTTATTAAAACGGTAACATTTTATTAATCTTAGTCTGATCACATATTTACATGATTTAACTCTGAAAGTCTGTTTTAAAAGAAGCTGATATATACAATCTCTACAGTGGATTTATCCTGAAATAAAAAAGGAAAAAAAAAAACCTAACCTCTATCAACCGTATATTCTTGAAAATAACAAAGCATTATATTAAACTTCCAGTGATTTAGTTTATATCTAGTTTAATACAAAACAACTTTTAGACCCTGGTGTGTGTCATCCTGGATCCTACATTTCCCATAATGCAACTCATTATAATCTTTCATTTGAGCCTTGCTTCCTCCTAAATGCTCATATCTTTTAAACGCCACTTTCAAAGATCTTTCAGAGCCACCAAATACCGTATAGACTCCGTTTTTGTTACAAGCTGTTTAGTACTTCTCAGGATGAGTAAACCAAACTTCAAGTGTAAAGTCAGTCGGGTGCCCCTTTAAAGCTGAATAAACTAAGAGCAAACAGGGATAGCATGCATGATGACTTACAATGGTGAGGTTGACATGTTTTTGGTTACTAACATCTACAGCTGTCAAAAACGTTACAGGGATAGCCAAAGATTTACCCAAATATACTGAAAACTGACAAATGAAAACCTTAAGAAAAAAGAAAATAATAAAAAATAGACACTGATAAAAACTCATGTTCCTAATTTGGCCATAACAGTTCGCTAAGGTAGTTCATTTCGCAAATACTTAAGGCCCCAAAATAAGGCCTCATCCTGTTGTTTGACCTCTGCAATGATGCAGAATGTTTAAGTGGGTTGTCTTTGCGTAACTGACCATTCAGCAGGAAGCATTTTTACGTTATGCTGAAAATACGGAAAGACCGTTTCTGTGAAAGTGTATTTGATAGTGTGGACAGGTTTTTTCCTGTCAAGGTCAAAAAAGGCTAATATTCCATGGTCATAATCAAGCTGCACTCTGACTCTTTTGGGAAATGAATCTTCAAATACAAGTTCCACATCATTCTCTGGAGTAAGTTCACACAGGGTGTCAGTGCAAGGGCCCCTGTAAATGGCCCAGATCTTTGTATGGAGGTTTTCTTTACTTGCCACACCAAGAGCCCAATACTCTTCTACCTCCACATCCCAGCTGTGTTTTCCACGGCTAAAGCCTTCAGAGCCAAGGACGTCATCGGCGCGCAGCCTTTCTGGGTTTTCAGGAAGGGTCTGACTCGTGTTCATTGTTGTTGAACGAGTCATGTGTTCGGATATACTAAGGAAGCTGCCGCCAGTGTTGGGGTCCAGAGTAACTGGAGCTTCAGGGAAAAGCAAATATAAACAAAAGGGGGATATTAATTGTGACGTTTATTAAATTAAAAGGTAAATGTTCTCTTAAAGGCATTTCAGTCTATTCATGGAAAAGCCAGGTGTTGCTTTCCTGATAAAAATTAACAGTATCTTGACATGCCTTTGCAGTTTAAAATGTAAAATATAACAAAGCAAAAACACTTTGCTTACTGTGTTCGATTATGTCCTTCATCTTCATCCAGACTGTGAATAACAGGTTCCCAGTGTGTTTGGCCTCGTCAAGAAGGGCTCCTAATGGAGTCTCAGGGTCTGGTAGGTTGAACTCTGATCTGAAGGAATTAAGTTATTGTTGCATGTTTAAGTTATAACAGTCATCATTTTCATCATAGGAAACCCATGTTTTGGAATTGTTCATGACTGGTATCTATTCTTCACTAGCTTTCATGGTAACTTCTTTATATAGGAGTTTGCATTGTCAAAATCCGCCATTATCACACAAAACATTTAAACAGTATGATTCACTTTTGAAAATATTTTCAGTTAACTTCCCCTCTTTTGAACCACCCTTAAACTTTTGAATGTCATGTCCATGACTTTCCCCCCACCTTGGATTTGATCCTCCCAAACAATCATAAGCTCTGCTGCTAAGGTGGACACTTTTAAATGTTTGACAGGAAACCACTTACCGCTCCAGAGTGGATTTGACATTCTGTTAAATAAAGAGAAAACAGGATAGCAAATCAATATTTAAATTCTGTTAAATACTCAACATTATGTTCTGAATTTACATTAAGAAAGGTAATCATTTAGTACCAGCATAAATGTCATGTTGTCAGCCTTGATGTCCTTCTGTAGGGTTTTGAGTTTGTCTGTTAACGAGGAGATCTCTGCTGTCAAATGTATAATCCTGATGTCCATTGAATCACTTTTGAGCATTGCCTCCATCCTCACTGCATCAATCCTAGCACTCTCCTCTGATTGCAGGAACTGGTAAAGCTTCTGAAACTCCTCTTTGATCGTCTTCTCCGTCTGCTGAGCTTGGAGCTGAGGAGAAACAATTTTTTTTTTTTAATTTAAAAGTCAACAACACATGCTGTTTTCCGCTTGTAAATTCATTCCAGCATGTCTGTGACTCACCTTGATGTGGTTTGGCATTTTATCACACTTGAGCTTTTCCTTTTTTAATGACCTTTGTTTCGTTTTGAAACTTATCACATTAGGACTGAGTTGAGCCTACAAAAAAAGGTACATACGTTACCTGACTATTCAGTGGGTGAGTTACACAACACATTTGCCTGGTATGTGAAATATGAATCATTCTAAATAAAGTGATGAAAACTACAAAATATTTCTACACTGCTTTTATTCTTACCCTGAAGAATTCAGCTGCCTCGTTGATGGGGATGCAGTTGTGCTTCTTGTGGTTTTGTGAATCCCTACATACGACACAGATGAGCTGTCGGTCATCTCGACAGAAGAGCTTCAGTTTCCTACTGTGCAGGCTGCAGATCAGATCCTTGGATCCTGACTTAGATCCCTGACTCTTCTCTCGTCTCAAATTGTCACACAGGTTTCTCAGTGCTAGATTATATGGAGGCTGTTCCAATGGAAAAAGTCCCTTACATGTCGGGCAACTCTGGAGAGCACTCTGTCTCCACCACTGCTGAAGACAGTGCTTACAGAAGCTGTGACCGCACAACAACACAACAGGATCCCTGAAGATATCACAGCAAACAGGGCAGGTAAAGTCCACCTCATCCGGTGAAACATTAGCAGCCATTCTCACTTCTCCTGAGGCTTTCAGGCTGTTCACTTACTTTCACTTTCAGAGTTTGAGTAGTATTTCAAATCTTTAGCTCCAAGTGTTAAATCATTAAACATTTGTTTAACTAGATGTTTTTACAAACACATTACCATGAGCAGTTTCATGTGCTGACTCATGTCACTTATTTCCTTCTTCCTGTCTTCTGAGTAAAAAGAGAGGGGTTTTTACCACAGTGAAGTTGGTTTTATGTTGGATGTTCAACAGACATTCAGTCAGATCTAGAGGCTCTTCTTCCTCATTTGTTATGCAGTTAAAGGGCAGTTAGCTCCTATCCGATTCATAGCTCTTAACCAAAGGGTATTTACTAATAAATGACTGTTTCAATGGCACAAAGCCTTTGTTATTTTAAAAATCTCCATGCTAACTTGCCCATACTACTGAAAATAATGATTAAGAGAAATAGTTGAAAAACGTTTAATGAAAAGTGTCATTTACTTTCAAAGCTTTCATGTCATGTGACCTATTGATTCCCAATGCATACCAGATATTTCACTATACTGGAAAAATAAGACACATCTTTTTATTGGATTTACGATTTTAGTTTTGTCTGTCTAGTCATGGTTTTATTTTGAAATTCTGTTCTCCCTGTGTCTGATTGTCTGATTGTGTTCACCTGTTGCCCTTGTGTTTCTGCCTCACTGCCCAGCTGTGTCTTGTCCTGTGATTACCCTGCTGTGTATTTAGTCTTGTCTTCCCCTGTGCTCCATGTCTGATCGTTGTCTTTGTTGTCACCCTCCATGTTTGCAGTAGGGCCTGGCTCATTTCGTGGCATCTGCAGGTTTTTGTCTGGATGCTACCTCGTGCTACCTGTTTATGGATTTATGGTTTTGTCTTGTTTTTTCATTGTCAACAGCTTTTATTTTTTTTTTAATTAAAGCTCGCTTTTTGTTACACTTTGGAACCCGCTTCTCCTCAATCTGCATTTGGGTCCTGCCTCACCCCAAACCCTGACAATAACATGGAAGCTATATAAAAATAAATAAGAATCATCTATTAACTGCTTTTGTAAAATACATTAATGAAACATGAGTAATCACAAAAGATGTGCTTTGCATCATTTTTATTAAGCTTATATGAAGAAGTTAGCATGGAGGTTTTGAAAAGAACATTGGGTTTGATACCAAACATAAAACCAACTGCACCACAGATCACTTTTTAAAAATGTTGCAGTGCAATAAATAGAAACATTCATGGCAAAAACAATGCGGAAAGAATATATCTGAAGTTACCTACTGTAACTCCAGCTTCTATGAGTATTGGCGTAGCCCTCTAAGGCTATCGCTATTGGGTAATCCCCCTGCGCACCCGCGCAGCACTGAAAACACTTGTAGTCCACGCCCGCCCGCAAGGTGGGCCCCACCCTCGGGCTCCCTTCCGGTATAAATAGGAAGGAGGCCCGACAATCTGCTCCCACACAAAAACCTTTTCTTCAGCTATTCGTGGAGCCAGTGGGGCCCAGAACTTAGAGGGCTACGCCAATACTCATAGAAGCTGGAGTTACAGTAGGTAACTTCAGTTCTATTTCGTATATGGCTTCGCCCTCTAAGGCTATCGCTATTGGGTTAAGGGCGAAGCAAGATGTAGTCTGCGCCCCACTGGGTCGCCCCGGTACAAGAAGCACAAACACACCTGCTCAGATAATAACCCATGCCTATTGCGCCATGCGAATGGCGCATCACAGTCCCTGGAATATATCATAACATGAATATTTACCATGAGAGGACGAAGGCTGGGAATAATACATACCCGTCCGCTGTGAGAAAGTAGAGACGAAAGTCACACTTTGCCCAGTGACAGAAAGGAGGGGAATAGCAGCTCTCTGCGTGCAGACAGGCAGAAGAGCGCACAGCTGGGTCCCCAACATCACTCACTCTGATAAGACATTCCGTACGAAATGTGTCAGGGGAAAAAAGGGGGGCGTCCCTCTCATAAGAGGGAAATACAGGCCACTCTCCGTGTGCCGAGGCAAGAGAGAGGCGCACAGCTGGATCCCTGACGTCACTCACTCTGACAGGACACTCAGCACAGGGTGTGTCAGAGAGGAATGGGAGACATCCCTCAAATAAAATTGAATAAATGAACAGGGAGAAGACCAAGATGCCGCAGTGCAAATGTCTTCCACTGACATTCCTCTGTGCAAAGCCGTGGAGGAGGAAATTCCTCTGGTGGAGTGCGCATTAATGTTCTCCGGAGGATCCATCCCAGAGGAGACATATGCCTGTGACACAGCCTCACACAGCCAGTGTGACAGCCGCTGTGCAGACAGAGGCTGCCCGATCGAGCGCTCTCTGTAGTGCACAAACAGGCTCTGAGAACGGCGCAAGGCAGCTGTGCGTGCTACATAGCAGGACAGCGCGCGCACAGGACAGAGGAGATGAGACGTGGCTTCTTCCTCCGACCTGTGAGGAGGGGGAAAGAAGCCATCCAGGGTGATCACCCTTGACCTAAAAGAGCTTGTGATGACCTTTGGCATAAAAGCTGGGTTAGGGCGTAAAACAGCTGAACTGTCATCTCCTTGGATCCGGAGGCATGACGGAGCCACAGAGAGAGCAGACAAATCACTCACCCTCTTTGCTGATGTTAGAGCCAAAAGTAGTACTACTTTGGCTGATAACATCTTAAGGGGAACCTGATCTAAAGGTTCAAATGGGGCTTTGCTTAGTGCGCGTAACACCAAAGCCAAATCCCACTGAGGCGCTAGTGCGCGTGACACAGGTCTGAGTCTCCGTACTCCTCGCAGAAAACGTTTCATCAGGGGGTGACTAAACACCGTCCCGACCCCGAAACCCACATGACAAGATGACATGGCAGCAGCATACACCTTGATTGTGTTGAAAGCCAAATTCCTGTCCAACAACAGCTGGAGGAATGACAGCACGTGAGGCAGGGGGCACGTAATGGGGTCCAGGCTTTTCTCTACACACCAATGCTGGAAAGCTGTCCACTTGGCTGTGTAGGACGCTCTGGTAGACGCGGCCCTGGCTCCCTGAATGGTCCGGACAACATCTTGAGAGAGGCCCAGCCCCTCTAAGTGTTCCCGTTCAGGGGCCATGCCCATAAGTGCTGGCCTATCACAGGGTGACTGTTGATCGCTCCCTCCACCTGCGAGAGAGCGTCCCCGCGCCACGGAATTTCCCACGGTCTGCCTGACAGCGTACGCTGTAGGCATGGAAACCAGGAAGCGCCCGTGCGCTCCGGGGCAATTAGGATCACTGACAGTCGCTCCTCCTGCACTCGGTCCAGGAACCGAGGGATCAGCGGGACTGGTGGGAAAGCGTACAACAGTCCCCTGGGCCATGGTCGATGTGCGAACGCGTCCACCCCCAGGGGGGGGGTGGTCCTGCGCTTTCAGGGAGAACCAGAGGGCGCATTGCGCGTTCCCGCGTGTGGCGAACAGATCCACCTCTGCTCTCCCGAACCGGCTCCATACCTGGGAGACCAGCTCGGGATGGAGGCTCCAGTCCCCCTGGCGAGGACCTCCTCTGGACATGAGGTCTGCCCCTCTGTTCAGTTTGCCGGGAACATACATTGCTCTGATGGAGAGCAAGTGTGCGCGCGCCCAGATCAACAGCGGCCTGGCTGTGTTCAGAAGCTGCGCTGAGCGTACTCCGCCCTGGCGATTGATGTAGGCTGCCGCGGCTTTGTTGTCTGTGCGAATCAACACATGCTGATTCCGCAGCAACGGGGCAAAATACTGGATTACTCTCCGTACGGAGAGCAATTCCAGCACGTTTATGTGGAGGGACATGTGAGCCGGCCACTGTCCCCCCACTGCCTGTGACATACACGTTCCTCCCCACCCTGAGAGAGATGCGTCTGTGAACACCGAGATGTGTGACGTAACTCTGCCCAGGGGCACACCCGCTGACAGGACGTGGGGACTTTTCCAATAGGTTAAGTCTGAAGCCCACGGAAGGAGGGATGGCCACCATGCGCCTCTTCTGTCGCACGGGGTCGATGCGCAGGCGAATAAACCACCTCTGGAGTCTCCTCATGTGAAGGAGACCCAGGGGAATCACCACGTGACCAGCTGCCATCATGCCAAGCAGCTGCATCACGGAGAGGGCTGTCACCACGCTGCAAGGTGTGACGCGTCGGAGAAGAGCTGTCAGTGCCTCCACTCTCTGCTGTGAGAGTCGCGCTCTCATGCGGGCTGAGTTCAATTCCACACCCAGGTAAATAATACTCTGGGCGGGAAGAGGGCGGCTCTTCTTCCAGTTTATGATGAAACCCAGCTTTGACAGATGTGATACGAGCTGTACCGTCTGTAAAGCAACTTCCTCTCTGGATCGAGCTAGCAATAGCAAGTCGTCCAGGTAAAACAGCACTCTCATCCCTCCTCTGTGAAGCGGCTGCAGCGCCGTCTCTACACACCTCGAAAAAGTGCGAGGAGCCAGGGAATAACCGAACGGCAGACGGTTGTACTGGTACGGTATTCCCTGGAATGAGAAACGCAGGTATTTCCTGTGTGTTGGGATGATGGCTACGTGGAAGTAAGCATCCTTCAGGTCTATCGATGTGAACCAGTCCCCCTGGTGAACACACTCCAGCACCTGTCTGATCGTCAGCATGTGAAAAGGCCTTTTCATTATGACCTTGTTGAAAACTGACAGATCGAGGATGGGTCTCATCCCCCCTGTCTTTTTCGGGACAAGAAAATAACGGGAGTAATACCCCTAATTTTCTTCCCCTTGAGGAACCCTGGAAATAGCCTCTTTCAACAGGAGTTCCCGCAGCTCTGCCTGGAGCGCAAGACACTGTTCTTGGGATGACAGGAGTGTTTCCTGTATCCCATTGAACTGTGGGGGGGGGGAGGCGAACTGCAGGGTGTACCCTCTGCTGATCAGCATGCTCATCCATCTGTCCATCAGACACACGCTGCCACGCTGAGAAATTCTCTGAGAGCGGGCGCACATGGTCGAGATGTGTTGTGGTCGTCATGGCGACGAGCCACGTCAGAGCCCTTGCCAACCCAAGGTGGGCCTGAAGCGAAAGGGCTGTGAGGGAGCCTCCACACGCTGCGTTTCACTCTGGCTCTCATCATGAGGCGTGTACACGCTCAGGGGATGAATGGAGATGTATGCAGTGTTGACCACATGAGGCGTTATAACGGCGCTCATGGGTTTATTATGACCGTGTGTAGGA